GCTTCATCAAGGACTCAAGATACAAGCAAAGTGGTGGAGGTGCAGGATTTGAGCTAAGGTCTTCTCTAAGCTTTCCAGTACCTCATGACAAAGCTCCCTCCCACTGACATGTGTAACTGGACATGGCATGGCGGCACCATTACATACTTTTCTTTGAGAAACAAGGAATTCAGTCATTCTAATAGATGCAGTGAATGCCCCATTAATTTGATTTATAAGGAATAAAAGGAAACTATTCTGTTCAGGGAAGAGCAACTACAGGATAGGAACAGAAAAATGATTCAAGTTATGAATAATTAACATATTTTTCCCTTGACACATCAGGATAGTCTAAATATGAAAAATTGACATAGTACAGAAAAATAAGAGCAACCACTAGGAGACAGGAAATATATAATATGTGTATATGCACTCACACATCTCTCTCTCTCTCTCTCTCTCTCTCTCTCTCTCTCTCTCTATATATATATACATATATATGTAATATGTGGACGGACACATATAGCATGTATGTCTATATATATACATATACACACACACACACACATATATATACCTATGTATAGGCATATCTAGGGATTTGTGTATATAGATTATACATTCTCCTAAAGCTTCTAGCAAAAAGTAGATTTTCTACAAAGAAAGCTATTTATACTTGCTCATCATTTCCAGGGCTCATAATCAGCAGTGGAGGAAGAGCATGTGGCATATGTAGGACAGATAGGTTTAAAAGAGAAACAGTTATGTGGCATTTTTCAGATTTTGTAACAAATTGGCAGCAATTCAAAAATTCCTTTTTCTTCCACAAATCCTAAAATTCTACAGAGTACAGACAGCCTAGTGTAGTTTAACTCCTTTGTTTGGAGTCAAAAGACCAAGGTATAAATTCTGCTTCCGATGTATTCTGGGTAACCATGAGCAAGTCACCCTCTTGGGAATTTGGCAACTCTCTGAACCTATAAATTGTGGAGAAAGTGCTGATTGACCTTCCATGGTAGAGAAAGTTCTCGTGATGACTTTCATCATGTCAAATGTGTCAAACACGTGGCCCATAGGCTACATGAGGCCCCAAAACTCTGGGGTGCGGCCCACAGAAGATTAAAATGGAGTTTCTATCTGATTTTAATATATTGAAATATTAGGATGGATGGATGGATGGATGGATGGATAGATAGATAGATGGATAAGCATGAGTTTTCTAAGTCAATATATGACCCACCAGTATCCTTATGTACAGTTGAGTACCTCACCTGTTTCTATTTGAATTTGACACCACTACCCTATACCCAAGAAAGCATAGATCCAAACTCCCTATTCTGCACCACCACCACCCCCACATCCCTGACATTTACAAACTGTGAAAAACAAATCACTCAGTCTCTAAAGGCTTCAGGCCTCTTAGTTAATTGATAGAGAGATTATAAGCTGCATTGTGTAGTGTAAGTTACAATACAAAGATGAGTTCCCTATGCAGAAGGAACTACTTTATGTAGTCATGTGTTTTAACATGACTGAAGTCAAAGTCAGTTGCCAGAACGTAGGGAAATAACTAACCTACGTGGTTGATATTTTTGTCACTGAAGCACCTTTTGTGATCCTTTGCTCATCTTTCAAAGTGACTACTTAAAGCAAGTCCTACCTCCACTTCCACTGCCCCCCCATGAAGTTCCTTGTCTTCTGCTCTTCTGCATTATGTTCCAATTCAATTTCAATTAAGTACAATCCAACTTGCAATAATGAAATGCTTACTGCATGCTATCGGCAAGGAGCTCGGAGGATCGTAGGAGTTAGAGTTGGAAGACTCATCAGCGGCACTTCCAGTCTAAACTTTTCACTTTACAGATGAGGAAGATGAGACCAGAGAGGTTAAGATTGGAAAATAGAAGTGTTCCTCCCTTGAACAAGCCAAAATGTGTGCCAGTAAGGGAGATTAACACAAAATGAGGCACTGCTTTGCTCCTGGAATGCTTTTATACTTCTATGTTGGCTCTCCTATCAATTATAGTAGAAACATTTTGATTCATTAGAATTATCTCTTAATCCCCAGGGACAAGAGCAGTGTATTTTACACATAGTAAACTCTTAATGGCACAGTAGAGTGGCGCAGTGGATGGAGTGTTGTGCCAAGAATGAGACAGAGTCCTCTTCCTGAGTTCAAATCTGGCATCAGACACTTTGTAGCTGTATGACCCTGGTCAAGTCACTTAACCCTGTTTGCCTAAGGTTCCTCATCTGTTAAAAGCGCTGAAGAAGGAAATGGCAAAATACTCCAGTATCTTTTCCAAGAAAACCCCAAAATGGTGTCATGAAGAGTCAAACACGACAGAAAGACTGAACAATAGCAGGCTCTTAATATATATATATAATCTTGCTGAATTGAATCATCTTTCAACAAGCTTTCTTATTTGCCAATGCTAAAATTATTTTAAGAAGTCCGTGATAAGTGGATAGAGCACCAGCCCTGGATTCAGGAGGACCTGAGTTCAAATCCGGCCTCAGACACATAACACTTACTAGCTGTGTGACCCTGGGCAAGTCACTTAACCCCATTGCCTAGCCAAAAAAAAAAAAAAGTCAGTGATCAAGACAATCACAGAGCTAGCATCATTCAAAAATTCTCTGAGGATAAATGTTAAGAAATGCATAAAATAGGGAGATATTTTCTGGCCAAAAGTGTTCACCAGTTTCAGGGGAGACCTTCTGCTCATGGCCACATTTTCTAGGATTAAAAAGTTAAAAACAAAAAAAACAAAAACAAAACAAAAAGAAAAAACATTGTAACCATAGAGCTAAATGCTGAAAGTCTCGCATACTAGTGAATTTTTACAATCCATTTGAGTTGCAGAAATAATTAAACTGATGCAAGTTAGCACTCATTTTTTTCAAAGAAATTTTGATCTTTTTTCCTTTTTGATTCAAGATTTAGCTTGACTAATGAGAGTTTTCAGAACTACCACTACAGGTGAGATATATAAGCACATCAGGCTTTTGAGAGAAGAGACTTTTTTTTCCATCTTTCAAAACACCATAATTGCTCACTTCACTATTGAAATAAATTTAATTTTAAAAACACTTATAAAATGCCTAATACTACAAAGCACTGTGCTAGAGAAAGGATATACATAAGCAAAAACAGGAAAGTTTCTCATTTAAAAGGGCTTCCATTCTACTGAATTGGAAATTACGGAACTATTCCATAGCATAAACAAACAGTCTACAAGGTGAAATATACATTTATAACCACTGGGATATATTTATCTTTTCCAGTCAACTAGGAAAAGACTAATATGCAAAACTATACTTCTGAATTTTAGTAATTATCAATTGATTGATGGTAATTTCCATTTCAGGGACTGAACTGTTAATTTGTAGCCCTTTTTAGTTTTAATTTCCACTTTTAGAAAATATAGATAATTAGACTGCACTAGTCAGGAGGCCTAATGAGCTAATGAAGGCGGACCCTTCTGCCTACATTTTGAATACACATTAAATAAAATTATATCAGGCCAAAATAATTACTTTGATAGGAATTTTCTTAGGACACAAAGTTAATACTCATTCTTTCCTGATGTAAAAACTTCTTTCCAAAGATATTAGTTACCAACAGTGGCAAGCAATTGGCAAAACTAAACAGTTGGCAAATGTCAGTATATCTGTGATGATACTTAACCTTTTCATATTAAAATTCTTTATATAGTGATGAATTTCCTTTGTTCAATATCTATTGTCTTATCTACCATGAAATCAGAAAAACTTTGATAAATGGATCAAATACCTGTTAGGCATTACTTTAGTCCCTTCTCAAGTATTTCAGGATCTTTTCCCCTATGATTTAATTATTTATTTTAGTAGTGTTCTTTAGTAAATAAGGAAGCCACTTCTTTTCCTAGAAGGGAGAGAAAATTTTTTTTCTTTTTTGATCATCAATATGAAAGTGGTTGATAAATTCAATTTCTGATAAGAGTATCTGATTATTTAGGAAGTTTGTCTACAACCACCATTCCAGAGGATTCATAATTAAAGAGAGGTGATAGGTTCAGAGTAGAGATTGAGACATAGACAAGCACATATTTGGACACGGCCAATGTGGGAGTTTGTTTTAAATCTCTATACATATTTGTTACATGAATTTCTCCTTTTTTTAATGGCGGGCTAGGAGAAGGGTGTTAAGAGGTGTTGGGAGAGAGAAAAAGCAAATGTTGATTTATTTTAAAATAAAATTTAATTAAAAAATGAGTTTGTTTATAAAAACATTTCATTTTATGTCCCTGTGTCTTCAGCTTACAAATGCCAGCATCTATTGATTTGGGAATCAAACTGTCTTCCGTGAGAATTTTGAGTAATAGAAGATTTTAAAGAACCATAAAGTGCTAAAGCTCATTTAGGGTATGACGCGTCAAGACACACAGCTATCTCATACTACATAAAGCCTAGACTCAAACCCAGGTCTTTTGATTCTAGATTCAGGGGACTCCAATTACATTCTTGTTGACCCTTTTCCACCTATAATAAATTACTATGTCTGAAAGTAGAACAGATTATATGTAAGGGAGATTGCTTTGAATTGTCATCTATTCAGTGAAACAAACTGTGGGAGAAGATCCTGGGGGGCTGAAGGATAATATTTTTTTTTTTGTTTTTATCCCGAGTTGTAATTTTATTGGTGTTGGGAACTTTGAGAGATGAAAGTCCCTTTACACAATGCAGATTTGCAACTACTATGCAATTTAACGGTCTGAAAGTCATTTGAGGTACCAAGAGATCAAATTTGTGACAAAGGAAGGGCTTGTACCCAGGTCAGCCTGACTCCAAGGCCAGTTCTATACTCACTATGTCTAATGCTTATATCATGTTGTTTATCTTAAAGAGAAAGTAGGTGATTAAATGTCATTGTGAATTTATTTAAAACAAATTAATTGAAGATCTCCCCTTTTTGTGACATTTAGATTACCTGCACTTACTCTTTATATTTGTTTTGTTGTTGTTTTTTTCCCCTACAGCGGCGTCCCAGCAGATGGCCAGCAATGAAGTTTCGACGAGGCTCTGGACACCCTGCATATGCTGAAGTTGAACCTGTTGGAGAAAAAGAAGGTTTTATTGTATCAGAGCAGTGTTAAAATTTCTAGGACAGAACACCAGTACTGGCTTACAGGTGTAAGACTTTAACTTTGCCTATATCTTTAAAAAAAAAAAAATTAAAAACAAAGAAAAAAATAAAGGCGCCCTAAGCTGCTGTAGCCTGAACAGTGGACGATTTCCGGATCAGCCTTGCCCGAGAAAGCTGGGGAAGGGAATTTGCAAAAAACACCATATTATGCTGTGCAGTAGTTTTCTTTAATGAAATGACATACAGTTCACTTAGGACATCCCCAGTGGACTGGTCAGAATTCTGACATGACTGTCTTGCTGTTGGCTTAGGTGTTGGGTTGCATAAGAATCAAGGGAAGAAATAAAGCTTTAGTTCACAAGGGTTCTATCCCCTTTGGTTTATATGTTTTCTGGGGTCTCAAAAGTAATAGGTTTCGCAAATGGACAATGTTCTTAAAGGAGAAGACAATAATTAGTATTTTAAGATAGTAGAACAAAACCAATTCATGCAGGCAAAAGAGTGATAACATGTAAATCAAGCAACTTCCAATCTTCCAAATTGAGAAGTGGCAGTAGAATTTTGGTTTTCACCATCCATACTCACCTGTTCAAACAAGTTCATTACTCTAAAGTGTGGACCATTTTTTTCAAGAGGAAAATAAAATTGTGCCTCCCACTTTTTCGGAGATACAAATCCTCTCTATCTACAGGTTATAAAGACATCACAAGTTTTAGGTGAACCTTTGGCAAAAAAGCTCCCAAAGGCCTCTTTGGCGAGGCATACTTTCTGTATCAGAATGTCAAATTTGGATTTTTTTTTTTTTTGAGAAGTGCTGCCTGCATAGTCTACCTATGGAATGAAGGAAGGTGAAAGATGGTCTTGGCTGATAGAAGGGAAAGGAAACAGGAAAAGTTTCTCAGGCATTTTGTGAAGCAAAACTATTGAGGGATTTCAAACAAACAGGTGTGGGTTTGGGTTTGTTTTTTTTTTATTTTTTATTTTTGCCAGGTCAGCACTAATGGCCTGTTTCATTGTGATTCTTGCCTAAGAAGCCATTCAATTTCCAGCACACATCCCCAGAGATTTAAAAAAAAAGGAAAATGTTTCAGAACCCTGCTGATTCATACAGTAATTTTGTTTAAAGCACATAGTAGTTGCATAAATATAAATATATATATATAAATATATTTTTGTTTATAGCTAACACAAGGCAGGCTCTTGTGACTGTTAAGACTGCATTTTGTCATCTGGACAAAGAAAATGGATTGCATTACTGCATATTTCCATTGAGTTGTAAAATAATCCTTAATATTAGAATATTTTTATGTCCCATGGGGAAAGTGGTTCATTCTATTGCAGTGCCATACGTTTTCCTGCCTACATGAGCCACTTTTCCACTCACATCAACCCTTTCCTTCCCAGATTAGGTTAAGAAGACATTAAAAACTCCTTAAATGAGGCCACCAGTTATGCTGGCCTGGTTGGACTAAGCGCAATCCAGATTGTGAACATCCCCCTGGGAAAAGGAATTTTAAACATTCTTTGAGGAGGAAAAGGGTTATATACACTGAACTTCTAAAGTTGAAATTCAAATACTGTGTGTATAATTCCATTGCCATCTTGACTTATGAACCCTTTACATTCTGTACAAAGTGATTCCTGTTAAGGTACGGTGTTCAACATTTGCAGGTTCAGGTCTCAAGTAGCACATGTATATATATTATATATATACACACACACATATATATATATGTATGTATATATATAATATATACATATTATAAGTAGCACCTTACTAACATTTTAGAATGTATAGACAGTGTCTGAATCCAATGACTTCAATCCACTAATAAATCATGATTCTCTTTAATAACTGTCTTCATGAAGTAAACCAGTACTGTTTTTTTTTTGTATAGCACAGTTTACTTTTTATTTTTTTTTAAGTTATCCAACATGGCATTTAACCTTTTTTCATGACTTATGTAACAGTCATCTTAAAAAAGTGAGAAGCAAATTAAAATGAAGGTTAAGATGACCACCCTACAGCCATATGCCTTCTTATTTGGTATGAACTGTTCCAACACATGCCTTGTGGGGTAGATTTAGTTATGTAGCAATAACCAAATGACTTGCCAATTCTACTGGTGCAACTGGTACTCTAAGAATATTTAATGATCGTGTAGACAACCTCCTTCTGAGATGAGACGCTCTGCTCTGGTTGCTTTTTACAATAAATTTGTCTTCCAATGGCAGTAATTGACAAATAGTTCTGTTAAGCCTATATGCAAGTATGTTTTCCTGTACATCAATGGAGGAAATAGAAGATATTCCAAAGTCCATCATAGCGTATCATCCTTCAGATGCATTGTAAGGATTGATAATTCTGTGAAAATTTTTCACAACTTTAATCTGAATTACTTAGTTTGCCTAAATATGAAACATTCAAGACAACCTTAGAGTAGAAACACATCAGAATTTGGAGGGGGCTATCAGGAAGAAGTCCTCTCAGATCAGATTGAAGACTTATTATAATTTTGATAGTAAGATAACAACCTTAACTGACATCTTTCCTCTTTCATGCTTTCTATTTCATTGCTTTTTATTCTATATCCCTATTCTGTGCTTAGATTCCCCTGCAGAACCAAAAGAAAATGGTGTCTTAGAGTATAAAATGAAAATTGGACATTTTCTATAGAGTGTGAATGTGTTAATAACATGCATTAATAACTTGAATGTGGCACACATATCTAATAGCCATAGAAATTACAGCAAAGCAAAACAAAAGAAAAAAACACCAATGGAGAAAATTAAGTTGAAATGTTACTTGATTATACTGTGCTACTGTAGTGTATAGTGAGAGCTGATGCTGTGGATCTCCAATATGACTAAGGGCTAATGAGCCTGGCATAAATTTGACTGTTGACATCAAGACTTCTCAAGTGGATGTTAAACAATTGTTACTGGACTGCTATAAAGCCATAAACTAATTATCTAACCCCTTTGGACCTCCTTCCTCATAAGGAAGATGGAGAATATGACATTGCCTTGATTATTACAATCGTCAACATTCACATTAGAAAAGATAAATGTGGGAACTTAACCAAAGTCAGATACTAAGATGGAAAAATAGACAGATTAGTACCTTTATAAATATTTTTCATCCCCTTTTCCATTTCACTAAATGAATTGTTACAATTTAAGCCTTATAAATATTTCCTTTGAGCAGGCATCAAACAGGACTGACTTACATACACAACACACAATGCCTTCTTCCTGGTGGATATTAATTTAATTGTATAATCTTTACAGGAATGTTGACCTAACATACTGTACTAGCTATGTAAAATCTTAGATTTTCTCATTTATTATCTAATCCAACTCCTTCATTTTATAACTGAGGAAGAGAAGGCCCAGAAAACGAAAATGTTCTGCCATAGTTAGCTACGGCCTAGAACCCAGGCATTCTGATTCCCCGATTCCCTGTAATTTTCATTAGATTTTTGCGATCTACCAGTTCTGAAGCAGCTAAGGATAAATCAATGGTTTTATTAAGCAGACAGTTCATCTCAAGGCCTACTGCATTTACTTCATTGTATTTTCTATTGTATCATGCAGCAACTCTTTCACCATGTTACTCTATGATTTTTTTTTAAAATGAGTTTATATTTTAAATTAGTCTCCTTGACAAGATAATCAGGTATTGGCGCATACAGTTACTTAGCTTTTTTTATCTCATCAATCTTTGCAAATGACTTAAACTTCTTTAAGAAGTGATCTTGATTTTAGGCCCTTTATCCACTCCCCAGCATTCGCCATCACAGCAGCTTAATGAGATCGTCTCTATGTTTTTTTATGATAATTCTTGTTCACTCTGACATCTATTCCATCCATATATATGTCCTGAACAACTATTGCAATTGAATAGTGAACTAAACCCGCAAAATAAAAGAAGTAGGATAATTAGTTGCATTGCATTTGGGAAATTTTGAGGTGTTTTTAATGACCTTAAGCTTTAATTTGAAACAAAAATCCATCCTTTTAACATTGATATTTGTATGGCCATGAATGTACCTATGAATCACGAAATGCTTCAGTCCCTGAAGGATTCCTCTAATGGGTCATCCAGTGGGCAAAAGTAGAATTTGTAATGGGTTCTGATAGATTGCAATATATCACTAATGGAAAATTCCATGGGAGTGGGCATAAAAGATAACAACAGAAATATTTATGCCCAGAAAAGGAGGTGAGTCAGTCAAATAAGGAGGAAGAAAAATAGTTGGACCATCCAAATCCCTAAATAGTATCTATGACATATGAGGAGGTCTATTAAAACTTCAGTATTATGGGTTGACCCCTGTGCAAAAATGTATGGCAGGGCATGGACTACATGGCAAGAACTACAAAAGATAAAAAGGTCTGAGTCAATTGTGATCAACAGCTTTGGAAGAAATACGCAACAGATTTATCTAACTACCTAAAAAGTGGTAATAGACAACCTCCTTGTCTGAAGTATGTGAGCGTTTAGAGATTTGAGTATTGAAAATAGCACTATCTGGTGATGTAATTTGCTATAAAACATATTTCTTTGTACTATAATGCAAGTTATCCAGAGATGATTCTGAAAAATGACTTGATTGGGCTTTCCATTCAGAAAAGTCTGGTCTTAGGGGCAGCTAGGTGGCGCAGCGGATAGAGCACTGACCCTGAAGTCAGGAAGACCTGAGTTCAAATGCAGTCTCAGGCTAAACACTTGACACTTACCAGCTGTGTGACCCTGGGCAAGTCACTTAACCCCAATTGCCCCAAAAAAAAAAAAAAAGTCTAGTCTGAAATACTGTGATAAACTTCTTTTGGTAAAGAGACACACCTATAGCGGTAAGAGCAATGACTAAGGATTTGTTAAGACTTGGTTTCTAGGCCTAGCTTTGTCACTGACTAAATGTGTGATCCTAGGCATTACTTAGTTCTCAGAGCCTTAATTTCCTCATCTGTACAATGGGGGACTACAAAATCTGCCTACCTCAGTAGTTTGTGATGCAGGGGAGAGCACTGGGTCAGGAGTTAAAGGCCAAGGTTCAATATCTGCTTCTGATGCCTACTACATACATAACCTTTGGCAAATTGCATAACCTAACTGGGCTTCACTTTCCTTATTGGTTGATTAGACTGCCTGGCTTCTGAGGTCCTTTCCAACTCTAATCTTATGATCCTAGAGTTGTTATGAAGATCGAATTGGATAAGGCATGTGAAAATGTCCTATGAATGACAAAGTATAGTACACACATGAGGAGATGACAATACTCTCATTCTCATTACAAAGACTATTCTCCTCCAGCTTAATTCATTTTTCATTGTAATTGGTGGCAACCAAGTGATTTCAAGCTATCACTTATGTACTCAGTCCTTTGTTGGGGTCTTCTTTTCAATTGGGTCAGTCCTTCTGAATAATGTTTTGGATTATACTGTTAACTTATTCTTAGAATCCTCACGATGCCCAGTTTATTAAATGTTTTGTTCACCTGATCATGAAAAGAATTCCAAAAATCTAACGGAAGGAGCGTATTGCTTTCCTTGTTTCTAATCACAGTCCTTTGCCCGGGCTTTAAACCATATGCAACTTTTGATCCTAAGTAATCTTCTTTGACCAAGTGTTGAACAAATTAGCTTGTTGGCATCACATGGAACATACAATTCACGTTTTCTATCCCATTCAAAACAGCTTGTTGCTCATTTTGCAGCATCTGATTGGAGAATTTTTATGAAAAATAAAATGTCATAGATTGACTGTGTCATTTCACTTTTCCTTCCAGGGCTAGAGTAACTGCATTTCCTAGGCCAATTTAAATAGTTACTCATGTAGCCTCATGAGTTATGGAATTGGCAGAAACTTTCAAGATTACTTAATCCAACCACCTTATTCTGAAGATGAGGAAACTGAGGTCACAGAGTGAAGATTTGAACCTGAGCCTTCTTCCTGTAATTCCACTGGCCTTTTTTTCCACTCCATCACATATTTTCCTTTTTATATGTAATATTGTTTCATAGTTGCTAGAGAAATTATGAGACTGCAGTTTATTTGAATCGTGCTCTTTGGAGGGATAACATTGTTTTACATATTTTTTTTTCCACCAGTGTTTCTCTCATGGCTTCTCATCAAATTTTATTAGCTTTAGGGTTCTTAAAAATTCCAGAAGCAAAGCAGTTTTGGTAGTTTTTAGGAATGTGAATTATACTCAGAAGATCAATAAAACAACTGGAAGCTAAAGAATCAAACTTTTAGGTTCACAGGTCCTCTCTCCCTCATTTTCAGTTGTACTTTTAATCCATCCCCTTCATTAATGCAATATTTGTTACAGTCTAGGTATTGGTGTTCAAGGTGCCATTGCAGCCAATTGCTTACAATGTTCATTTTGCCAAATTGTGAAAGCTCCTTCAGCAAGCAGGATCCTACATGGCCTTTTCTTCACCTCCAGCTTTAGAAGGAATGTCCTCATGGCTTTGAGGGAGATTTTCCTTTAGAGGTACTTTTCTGGTGGCTTATTAACCTTGCTAAGCTGGAGGATGAAGTAGAGGAAGTCATATAGGCAGTCTATGTTGCTGATGTAATGGCTGACCTAGACATAAACACTTTTCATCGTATAGATTTGATCTCTTTGACAGAGACCTTGTTTTCACATACGGGCATTTGTACACTGCCCATTGGAGATCTGTTCACTATCCTTCTCCATCATCTGTTCCACTGGGTCCTTAGTCTCTGACCTTATAATCTGCATGAAATTTGAAACAAGCCATGTTGATTCAACTTTGACTTTACTCAGCAGTGTAACAAAGGAAAAAAAAATTCTTCGGACATCTTCCTCAAAATGTTCCTTTGTAGTTCTTCCTCTTGTGTTTCATAGAAGAATTGCCCTGGGTTAGATAGATAGACAGATAGTCAGAATGGATGGAGCTAACTGTGGTTTACTATTGGCCTCTTCCAGAAGTTTTTTCAATTGCCTTCCCCATTTAAACAAGAACTGACCCTCAGGATTAGAATGCTTAAGACAGTCTAAGGTGTCATTCACATTATTATCTCATTTCTGTACTGTACTACAAATGACTTTTTTCCCCAATCCATCCCACAACTCTCTCTATTCTTATTATCATTAAGTATGATGATTATTAACTAACATGGGAATGAAATAGAATCTATTAAATATGCCATGGTGGGCTTTTGGAAAACTTCTGAAACTAAAAAAAAAAAAATCAAGTTATGAAGGAACAAATAACTATCTACATGTGATTGTAACATCACATCCAACTCTACATGGAGACATTTAGTCCTATTGTCTTTCAGCCTCAGCCAAAAAAAAAAAAAAGTAATTACCTGAGTCTTATTTAGGGACTTTACCTCTTTTCCCAAATATCTAGAATTACTGATCAGAAAATGGTTTTAAAGACCAATAGAGTAAATCCTTTAAAAAACTCTGACTTAAAAAATGATGCATTCATTTTGGCCAATTTTAGTTTGCGTAAAATTACCTCAGTGATCCCCACCATTCCTTTGCAGCAGTGATTTTGTAAAGAATGGAAGTGAGGAACAGGGTGTTAACAATGATTTTGCAAAGCTTCTAAAGCCCTGCCTATCAGTCTTCCCAGCTTCAGAGCAAGGAGCAAATGTACAACTGGGGCCACATCGAAGTCTGAACAGTTAGGAGAAGCTGATAGACAGATTGTGTGTGCTAGAAGATATGGGCCTATCCATGTCTCCACAAAATAAGAGAATAGCCAGAGGCGTGTGGAATTTGGCATAACACTCATCTCTGCCTCCATCATGGCACCTATACAGATAATTCCCCCAGTCTGCCAAACTATGTAATTAGGTTAGTTTGGATCTGAGCTCTAACCAAGAATAGATTCCCTCCCTGCCACTGCCTTTATTATTTAATAAGAACAGATGTGTTTGTTTGTTTTTTTTCTTCTTTTCATGTCACAGGAGAGTGTAAGCCAGAAAGAATTTTCCTGAAGAAAGAGATACTGGGAATCTGGTGCAACTCTGGGGAGTGCCGACATTTTATAGGTCTTCACTTACTTTAGAAATGTCTTTGTTGAGTCCTTGTGCAGCAATCTTTACACTGAGAATTAAAAGGGAGGGAAAAGCCCAGATTAATATATTTTTAGCTCAAAATCAAGTCTTCTCAGGTGCCCTCATTTTGACAGCACTGAAAATAACATTAGGTGAAATCAGGTCTTTCTTTCTAAAAGGCATTCTATTCATTTAAGGAGTGTAATGAAATCTCTTCAAACAAAGTCATTTTGTGTATACTGGAGCATGGGTACAAGTGGCCTGGTTGGGAGAGAGAAGATTTTTCACTAGCTTCTAAGAAAAAAAAAATCTCCCTCACTTGTCTGAAATGGGAGGGGCCACAGGGGCACTTGGCTAGCGCCTTGGAAAACTACTATTTTCAAGGCAAAGGGAAGAAAAAAAGCCAGGCTTTCTAGTATGCCAATTGGGATCATGGGAATATCTGCTGCCTGGAATTTATGACTTTTTTCTGGTAATTCTGTCTGTAGGCATTTGAAGCATTACAGTGTACAGGGAGAAAAATTCCAAGATGCCTCAGGCTGCCTGTCCTTGCCTGTCCTGGTAAAGAATATTACTGCTGCATTTCTAAGTGTAATTGCTACCTTTGTCTGGGTCAAAAAGTCAGTCAAGTAATGTTCCATAAGCACCTACTATGTGCCAGGCACTGCAATAAGGTTGCTTGGAATAGGATGGGGGAAGGAAATCTGACCATTTATAACTGAGTCAAAAGTGTATCAAAATAAAGAACCCTGCGCAGGGGATGATGCAAGAACTTGGTCAATGAGTTTTTCACTGTCTCAATGGGCACTGTGTCTCATCTCAAGGACCTTGTCTTTCAAGGGAATGTAGGGTTTCCCAAAGCTTATTAAGAACAAAACTTGCAAAAATGAACAATTTGGACTTGTACCAGTACTTTGGACATCATTCCCATTTTTCCAGCCCTGGAAATGGAAGTGTTTCATTCTAGGGCTACATTCTTCACTAACGGATATAATTGTTGATTTTGCTTTTCTTGAATTACCTGAGCCTGCAAACGTAAAACCATTGTGTCTGAATTTGCACTAATGCTTGATAGCAAAAGAGGTGTGACATACAGGAGCCCTCTGCTTAAATATAAGAATATGCAGATATTACATATTTTCTATAAACTACTCCTGATTGTTTTTAACTATAAGATTACATGTCTCTAAGTTTGAATGTATTCCATTACAAGATATTGATTTGCCACTTATTTTTTTCTGGGGATTTCTGTATTGTTGCAATAATTCATTATATTCTTTCCCCATACAGCTTTTTGAAACTGACTTTCTTTGCATTTTTAATTTTGGTTCTGCTTACAGTATGTTGGGAATAGTTTCTTGGTAGCAAATGTAAGAAAGCCAGTATATTGACTGGGAGGGAGGCAGAATTCATATTCAGAGGCCTGGAAACTAGTGATGATCAAATATTCTCATCCTCTTTGTTGATTGCTATTTTCACAATTAATTTCATTCTTCACTTTTGGTTGATGTCAACAAATTTGGGATTTCAGAAGGGGAGAAGGGAGCAATTTCTGTAACACTACTGTCAAGTTTGACTACATATTAAACAATAAAAGTGGTTTTGTTTTAATTTTTTAAACACCTTTAGCTATGTCTTTCAGAGCTTTTATTTAGGAATAAAATCACTGAC